CCCGCGCTCCAGCCCGAGACGCCTCAGTCCCCGGCCGCGTGGCGCCGCCCAGCGGCGGTCACGTGTCACGGGGACGCGGCGCGGGGCGGGGCCACCCGGGAGTTTCTGCTTGGGACCAGCGCCCCTCGGTCTCGCCGGGGGGGCAGCGCCCTGCTGTGGAAACCCGCGGAAGGCTCCGGGGATGGGGGAGAGTTTTCTCTCGGTTGCAGCCGTGCCCCAAGTGAGGACCCGGCAGCCAGGTCTGTGTGCAGGCGTGTGCCCTGGCGTACTGCGGCACAGCTAATCGCGCGCTCCGCCCAAGACGTTTGCCGCTTTCTTCAGTGAATTATATTCTAGAAACGTGACCAAAAAGCTGAACCTTGATTAACTCAGTGGTTCTCAACCTTTTCAGACTCAAGGCACCCCCTTGGAAAATGCTGTAATGTAACAGAAAGATAACAGCAATTCATCTGTTGTAAGAACGCGGGACGACCCCAACAGGCCTGGACGCTTTTGACACTACGGAGTCCTGTTTGAAATCCCCCTCACCCACGCGTGCTCCAGGGTGCAGGGGTGGAGAGCACCTCTGGAAAGCTGCTCTGATTAAAACGCCGGCAGCGTCTCGTGTATTCCGCGTCCCATGTTTCCAAATGGCAGGAGTGCTTTAACTAAAGGTCATTTCGTGAGTTTTAAAGCGCCCCTGCTGCCGTTGAGAAGTGCCGGGATGCTGAATGCGCACAGTGCGCTGGGGCATTTGAGACGAGCACGCCCGCAGACTCGACTGCTTCTAATCAGAACGTGTCGGAGCACGTGTAGCAGTGCCCTCTGGGTTTATCTTGTGAATCGTGTTTGTACACCTAACAGTACTAACCTTGCATGGCTCCCTGTGGCACTCTTGAAAGGATCTCACAGCACCCCAGGGTGCCATGACACCCAGGTTGAGAATCACCGGATTAACCAAAGGAGAGTTTCTTTGTTTAAACTCACCTCCCATCTTTTTTTTAAACTAATTGATGCTTTTTGTCAGTACAAGTACATACAGAATAAGCAAGGAGTAGAACACTTTATACTACTAGATCCTTGCTGTCACTGTTGTTAAGCAGTCAACCTTAACTTTTAACCCTCCAGTAATCACTTCCCTCTAAGAAGGAACCTCCACTATCATGAAACTGGAGACTTGTGTGCCACCTGCCTCCAGCTGACCTAAGGAGAATAAAGGGATTGACTAGCACAAGGCTGGCTAACGTGGCACGTGTGCCATAAGTGGCACGGGCGATCTCTCTTGTGGTATGGACAGGTTGGAGAGGAGGCAAGGAACAGAAAACAGAACAGCAGATTAGGCAGGGGAAGAGGATCAGTGACACTCCAGCAGGGTGCAGGACTTAATTTGTGTCCAGCAGTGACAGTCCTTGATAGGAGGATGACAGTCTTCCAGTAAATAGGGAAATCATCAATGAGCCCATAGATGACTGAGGAAACTGATCCAAAATCCATGTGCCTGACTGCAGATGTGAATTTGTGGCACACCTTTTAGTAAAGTTAAGGCTTCTGCCTGCTCTTTCCTATGCAAAGGGATTGACCCTTCTTGCCGCTGAAGGGCCCCAGGTTCCGGAGAGTTCAAAGGTTACGCCAACAATGCACCGTGCCATCCTAATGTATGCAGGATCTGACCCAACATCCACAGTGTGATAGCTGCCATGCTTTCTATTTAACTAGTCGCTGGCTTTGAACCTGCAAACATTTATTAAAATGATTATTTGTGCTGTTGTAGTACTTTGGGATCCTTGTAATGGACCAAGAGCTGATTGTGCTGGGCTGTGTCATGAGAGTCCTGGGCTGTGCCACAAGAGTACTCACCTTTAATGCCTTACAGTGTGAGTATAAGAAAAGAAATAGATGATTAGACATGAACAGATGTGGAGAAAATGAGAAAACCGTGAGACCAATATTGGTCAGTTAGAAAGAGGTGAAGATTTTGGTACCATAACAGCATAACCAGTTTCAGATGGTTTGTGGGCATCATGAAAAAAAGAGAGTTCTAAGGGGGATTTTGAAGGGAAGCAATAGCATAGATTTGTTGAAGTTTATGGAGAATTCTTTCCAAGCGTGGGAGGCACCATGGGACAGAGGGAAAAGGTGCTTGTTTGTAAGTTCAACAAGTAGGCAATGAGGCTGGCATCACCTGATGGCCAGAGAGAGTCAAAATCTCTGTAATCAAGAAGAGATAATAGGTGTATGAATGGTCTCAACAAGTTGCTTATGATATGAAAAATGCCAAGAAAAGGGTGACATGGTCCCAAGTAGGTAAAAATTATCTCTGCAGCAGCATTCTGGGTGGATAAGAATGAGGCAGGATTGTAATTTTTAGCCAAAATCTGGAAGAAAGAGAAAGATCTAAGCCACGAGTGATGTCCACTTACTATTCCAAGGAACTGTTTATGTTCCTTGAAATAGTGCTACTCATACAAGAAATTATTACTCATATGAATAAAAAAAGTATGATATACCCTTTGCATTGCTGCCAGTTGTTATTCCTCTCTTTAATTGAACCTAGGATTTCTCAACCATGAAAAGTAACATTTGTGACAATAAAGAGAAACCTCCAAAACTCCTTAGTCTGGCTGTCTTCAGATACCATTTTTCCACACAGCACAGTATTGATTTTTTCCCCCAAAATTGAATCTATTTATACGATTACATTTAGGGACAATTTAACAGGAGTTAAATGACAATAGGTGCTAGGTAAGCAGAAACTTCATTGTCATCAGTAGCCTCACACTTACAGGATTTCATCCTGATTTCTGTTGCCAAAACTCTCTCTTGCTTTCTTTGTCAGGCTTTGGCTGTGCCCCAGATCTGCCCTGAAATACAACTGTAATGACTTCCTGTGCCTATATATGGACAAAGGCTGCCACAGAAGCTGCTAAGGGTGGAACTGAGCATGCACCAAGAGAGCAATGACATTCAGACATGCAGGAAGTAATCACAATGCTTGACTGGCAACCTCAGTATAGATTTCATCCCTTTAAGGAAAAGGGACTTTTTGTTTAGTCACCCCTATCTTATCTCAGAGACCAGGCCTTTCTAGGTCTTGCATAAAAAGCTCTGATAGAAGTGACATTTCTTACACAAAAGCACTCTACAGTCATGCCCGTGACACACATGCATGGCTGCAGAGTGCTTTAAAAGTGGCCAATTGCATGACAAATTAACCCTCATCTAATGAGGGTTCAGATGAAGGTGCTCCAATGTGGAGTGCCTTAAGGAACTTCTGGTATCTAAGGCCAGTTTTCAGTGGGATTGGGGCTGAGCCCTGCCCCCGGTACTGTCTGCAAGAAGGAAGAGGGGAGAAGGAAGGAGCTATAAGCTGGGGTTTGCCTAACCTGAGCTGGAAGGGGGGGGAATTGGAGCCCCCCACCATCTTGTGCCTCCCCAGAGCCCTCCCCCTCTAGCTCAGATCAGGAAAACCCCAGCCTGCAGCTCCCTCCCCCTCTCTCCATGCAGACAGCACCACAGCTGGGGGGGAGTTGGGGAGAGAGGCTGCAGGCAGACTCTTCTGCTGGATTGGCTCCGAAATGGAACTTGATTTCTCCTCCCCACACCTCAACAGACTAGGGAGGGTCTCTTTACTTATGGCACTTTATGTGAAGTGCCATGAGTTAGAGCAGGGACTTGCATATCTGTCAGCACCTAAAAAGACAGTTGTGACAAGAGATGTTCACATTTTCCTTGATACATTTTTGCACACAAATTTGAAAGCTTTTTCTCTTGATGAACTGCAAAGAAGGGAGAAGTATAGTCCTATTGACATCCATGAGAGTTAATCATTTTGCTTAAGATAGCAGGTGTGGGCAGGGCTACATTTGTCTAGGTTTAAATTTTGAGCATGTACCCACGCATACCCTTTTAAATAAAATATTTT